TCTGGCTTTTCCAGCTGCTACTGTCTCTCATCAGCTTGTTCACCGACACCCATGGGCAGAGAGCAGAGAAACATGCCCATTCCAGAGGATGGCAGTCCTATGGGGTGTGCGGGAGCCAATGTGGTCTCTGGGTCCCACTGTTCAGGCTTTCCCCATCACTTTTTGTGAAAGAGAATTCATTTCTGGATGCGCCTTAAATGGGATCATCCATTTCCTTTGAAGAGCTGATCCCTGGATGCTTTTCAAATTTCAGCTCAACAGCCTTCTCCTCCCGAAGGAGCCCATGCCAGCCAAGGGGACGCCTCCCATCATTCCCACCACAGCCCCGTCCATGTTCTTGGTATACTTATCAGTGGCTGGGTGCGTGGTCACTGTCAGTCATTCCATGAGACTGAAAGTCCCATGACAGCAGAACAGGTCTGGTTTGGTTACTGCTCTGGGCTCAATGCTAAGGTCAGGGCTGGGCATGGAGTAGGTAGAGGCTCAATTAATGTTCACTGAATAACTGACTAATACAATTTAATAGACAAAAGTTCCCATATTTAAGTCCAAAGAGCACCTGTGTGCGTGCAGAACAGAGAAGATAGAGATTAATAGGTAGTGATATCAAAGACAGGGTGGTTGAAGTTATCCATAACCTCACTGTGAATGAACTTACTTTTATCTTATGCTGTAAAATTTCTAGCATTCAGTATTCATCATTCAGTGAATAATCCTGATACCCTGTGCCTGACCCCATTTGAAGTACTGGGAATAAAATAGTACAAAAGTGCAGAGCCCAGGGGCTGGTCGGGAGTAAGAGAGCAGAGAACAGCAGGAAAAAAAGACCTAGGGCAGGCAGGAGAGATTGCGGAGGCCATGGCAGGCATTAGGAGGTGGCCCCACTTCTTCACTGATCAGCCCCCCATCAAGGAATGTCATTCAGGGGCCTCCCTGGTGGCACAAGAGGTTAAGTCTCAGCACTATGAGGTTATCTGCAGCCTCTGCAGCACAAGTTCGATCCCTGTCCAAGGAGCTACCCACATGGCACAGTAGACCTCTCCTTTCTGGCCTGCTGCTCCCCTCAGCAGTGTATTTCAGTCAATCTGGCTGTTCTGCTCCCCACTCTGTCTCTGGTGAATCCTCTCATCCCTCGCACCTCTGGTCTACACCCCAGTTCTTGTATGCATAAATAAATAAATAAAATAAATCTTAAAAAAATAAAAGGAAAGGCAAATTCAATTCCATCGAGGGAGGGAGGAGGGCAGAGACACACCAGGGCCGAGGAAAGCCACCGGGAGGCTGGGCATTCAGATCCACGGTGTGGAAGGGCGGGACAACAGGGGCAATACTCAGACCTGGGGAGGACATGGGAGCCACCTTTGCACGCCTTCGGAATTGTCATGTGGACAAGTGAACCTGATTTGCTCTTACATCCTGTGGGGTCTGAGCCAGAACCCAGTACAGGTGAGTGAGAGCTCCAGGAGGCAGAGTTGGACTCGTCTAGAGGAGACACTGTAATAGGCTGCAGTGAGGCGGGAAGGGGAAGAGAGCCTCATCCTGGGCGATGTTCAAGACAAAATATCAAAGATAGAATATTAAATATTAAAATATTAATTAAAGACAGACAAAATATTAAAGATAGAATATCAGTATTCCATGTCTAGTATCACTGTTTCTATCAACAATCAAGTCAGAATTGCTCTCTTGGTGGCCAGGTGTCTTTGATGCTGTGTCGGCACGTAGATCCAGTAGAACCTGCTGCGTCTCCTGTGTGGTCACATGTGTTTTGCAACAGAAGTCTGAGTCTAAGCAGATCACAGAACTAGTGTCCTGCTTCTATAACCCTAACCATGCACAGCTAGAGCAGCGAGGCTTAATGTCCGTGTTACTTCCACAAGCAGGAAGCTGGTCATGTCTCAGATGTGGGCAGTTAGCCGCGGGGCCAGGGCAGCTGTGAGTCTGCTGAGGACTTACAACAGGAGCTCAGCCTGCGCAGGTGGCCCTCCAGCCGGTCACCCAGCTCCTTTCCAAAACTTGCAGATGAAAGGAACTATGCTAAATCACAACTCCTTTATTTTTTCCTGTGGCCTTTGGAATCTTCTAGGGCCTGCTAACTCTTTGGGCGTATCTTTTGCACAAAGGACAAGTAGCAGTCAAGGCTGATCCTTGAGCCCCAAAATTCTTTGAGATGCTCTCTCCTCAGATGCCTGAGTATGGGGTCAGATGGCAGCCAAGCCACTGCAGATTCAGGTCTCTGTTGTCAAACGTGGGTTACACAGCTTTGAAAAGGACTGAATGTTAGCCTTTTTAGAGTGGGGATTAATGTGTCTGTCAAGCTGTTAACCATGCATCACCATTCTGAAGAGCTAAGGATTTGGGTCTCCATGTTAGGGGTAGAGTAGTATGCTTTCTGATCGAAAAAAAAAAAAATGTCTTGCTCAAAAAGGGCTAATGCACACTAAATAGCCTTTTTTACACTGAGGACAGAGAGGGTATTCAGTGAGGCGGAATCGACCACTTCATCAGAAATTTCACCAACACCATAAATGAGTGGTCATAGCCAATGACTGGTCACTCTCCTGCTTAATAACCTATTGTAGCTCCCAGTCTCATTCCTCAGTTGGGTGTCTGGTGGGTCTGGATACTCCAACACCAAGTTAGTTCTGCAGCCAATCAAACCACAGACAACGAGGCTTATGGAGATCCTGCCATGTCTTCAGGCTTGTCCTCAAGAAACTGAGGTTTGTTTGAGGAGACAATGTCAGAAAATAGGAGTAGCCAGCCAGCAGTGGATTGGGGATGGGAGCAGAGATGCAGGAAAAATCTGGAAGTGCAGTAAGACTTCACAGAAGGCCAGAGACAGGCCTTCTTGCTTGGCTGCTGTTACGATCACCTGTCACAGTCATAGCTGATGAGGTTTCCATAGCTGGTAGAGGTGGTAGACAGGCCAGCAGGGCCTGGGCTGGAATCCCACCTGGTTTCTTGTGAGTTTGGGGGTCAGTGTCTTGAAGGAGCCAGCATCCATCCCAGCTGAAGCACCTGCACCTATTTTACTTTCTCCAAACCATGGAAAGTAGGTCAGCTGTGTGCACTGGCGGTACAAAGCTTAAGAGTAGCCTCCTGAGGCAAGTCTCACAAGGGGGCTGGAGAAGAGATTCTGTGGGAAGATGCCCCAGACCACCTGTCCTCTGGCGGGACTCTCTGAGGTGTGAAGTGAATACCCAGCTTCTCAGGCCCAGGGGACTCAGACCTGGTTGCCCGCAGCGGTGACTAGTCTAACACATGCCCTGTTCTGGCTTTTCTTCCTCCACACTCTCTCTTTTCTGATTTCCTCACTTCTGCTTCTCAGGATCATCTCACAAGTAACCTACCTGGTCTCATGTCCCTCTCTCAGGGCCTGTCTGGGGGAAGCCACTAAGGAAAGGATGTGGAGTCTCACTGAGTGACAGGCTCTGCTTCGCCAACAAGATTAGAGTGTCCAGACCATTCTCCTTTTCCTGACGAGTCTCCCTTGGATTCTTGCTGGCAGGTGCAGGGAGCCTCAACCTGGAGCTGGCACTGACCACTCAGAAGTGGTTGAAAATAAATACAATCAACATTTACTGAGGGTTAGGTGCCACACATGGTGCCAAGAAGCACATTCTCACCTACTCTCTGATTTAAGACTCACAGCCATCCAGCCCCTCTTCCTAAGTGAGAAAATGGAGGTGTTTTTTCCTCTCCCAGATGCTCTGGCTAATAAAAGGGAAAGATAGGATTGAATTCACACCTGAAAAACCAAGAGACCTGTGTTCTTCAAGATAAGAACAAACAAAATAAAAATATACTCTTAGGGCCTTCCTGGTGGCGCAAGGGGTTAAGCACCACACTATGAAGGAATTCACAGCCTCTGCAGCATGAGTTCGATCCCCAGCTGGCCGGATGCAACCTATATGGTGCAGCAGATCTCTCTTCTCTCGCCCGCTGCTCCCCTTAGCAGTGTATTTCAGTCAGCCTGTCTGTTCTGTTCCCTACTCTGTCTCTGGTGAATCCTCTCACCCTCCCGTACCTCTGGTCTGTACCCCAGCTCTTGTACACATAAATAAATAAATCTTAAAAAAAAAACAAAAAACCTCTTAAACTATGAGCACAAAATGGTGGTCACCAGAGGGGAAGGCAAGGGTGGTGGTAAGGAAATCAGGTATAGGGGGTCAATTGCATGGTGGTGGATGTCAATTAGGTTTTTCGTGGGGGTCATGATATAGCATACACAGATGTGGAAGGCCAAGGACATCATCTGACTTAAATAATGTTACAAACCAATGTTACTTCAGTAAAAAAAGAAGTTGGCACAAGGGGTTAAGTCTCAGCACTATAAAGCAATCCACAGCCACTACAGTAATCCCTTGCCAGGGAGTTGACCCACAAGACCCTCAGCAGTGTATTTCTGTAGATCTGCCTGTTCTGCTCCCCAAGCTATCTCTGGTGTATCCTCTCACACCCCCAGCTCTGGCCTGTACCCCAGCTCTTATATGCATAAATAAATAAAATAATTCTTTAAAAAAAAAAAGAGGTTCGTGCTCCCAACCACTGGACCACTTATTTGGGAATGAAATGGAAGGAGGCTCCAAGAGGAAGAATCTACATTTGTCATTCTCCTGACAATATGCCTTCCCAAGCTCCTCCAGCTCTGTCCTTTAATTGTGTCTGGGACTCACCTTCAATTACTTGGAACCTCGAAAGCAGTGAATGAATACTCTTGAGTAATTAAGCGCTGCTTCAACATGTGAGAATACATTCCCCAGGGACAGTAGTACTCCAGCCCTTGAAGGCCAGAGGCAGAAAAGGACTGTGAAAGGTGGACTCTCCCCCTCCCCCAACCCTGCTGGAGGACGCTGGTCCTGGGCAGCAGAGGGACGATGTTACAGCGCAGCAGCAGCAGCCTAGAGAGAAGGAGGCACAGAGGCAGGTGGGGAGGAGCTGGGCAGCCTCCTGAAGGGCCCCTGCCCCAGGACTCTCCTGCCCTGGGGACTCAGTACCTGGGTTCCTGACTTCAGGGACAGCACAAGGTCTTTGATCATCTTGGCTTCAGAGACTGTGATACCGCCCACCACGAAGAGGATCAGGAGAGGGTGGTCGCTGGGATGAGGCCGGCTCACCTGCAAAACAAACACCTGTCTCAGACAAACAGTGCAAGGCGCCATTTCTATGTACCTGCTTGGGGACCCCAAGTTGTTAACCCCTTAATGCGGGTGAGGTAAATAAGCCTTAGAGAGAGCATCATTTGTTAGGGAGCAGATGCGTTAGTGGTTTGGATGTCCGCTGGCCAGGAAAATGAATGTCACCTTATTGCATGTCTTGAAATAAATATTTTATTGAAGAAGAGTAAAAGGAATGGTGGCTATTAAAAGAAAAAGTTGAGGGGGTACCTTGTCAGTCTTTAGGGCTCAACATAAATGTGCCCCTCAGCATGAATGTGTAACAGAACTGTCAGCTCTATTTCCTCAAAGCCCTCGCCACAGCCTGCGGTTATCACATTTGTTTGTTTATTTATTTGTTTTCTAGTTGGCTGTCTCTACTAGAGCATAAATTCCTCGAGGTGGGGTTCTTGTCTGCTTGGCTCACTGCTGAAGTTCTGACTTACTTAGTGCAGTTCCTGGCACAGAGTAGGTGCTTAACATATGTCTGTGGAATTGATGGGAGGTGGTGGGAGAGGGTGGAAAAAGATGAGAGAGCCCAGGGCCACCCTCAAGGCCCTTAAAGGCTACTAGAGACCTCAGGCCCTTCCTTTCCACAAACCCACGTAACCAGCCTCAGCTACCCCTGCTCTGAGCAACACTCCCTCTGATGCTGCAGAGAACACTTCCCGGTGCCTTATGATTTTACCAGTGAGGCACAGTATTATTATAAACTAGAATGAGAATGACTTGCATTCCTCAGGAAAAGCAATACAACCATCACACAGGCTTAGTGACTAGTTGACGGGGGCAAGAGGGTTCCTGAAGTCAGTATGTTTTGAGCCCCGTCTAGAAGCCAGATGTTGGGTGGGTGGGGAGCGTGCAAGAGAAGTGGTGTGAGCCAAGTTCCAGAGAAAAAGCAACCAGCAACTGGGTGGAGCAGGCTGGAGGCCCAGCCAGGACGGAGCAGGCAGGAGCAAGGAAGGGGGCTGCCAGCTGCCTGCTTGGCCTCTGAAGCCAGAGAGGGCGTGACAGGCTGAGTGCAGCAAGGAGAGGGTTGAAAGGTGGTGAGTTACACATTCACTCACACTCCAAGTCGTCTTCAGCCTCCCAGTCAGGCCCCAGGAGCAGAGCGTGGGGCATCCAGTGGAGAGGAGCCCGCTCTGACCTCTGCTCCCACGCCTTTCCCAGCTGGCTCTTCTGGCTCCCCTGCCAGGCTAGCCCCACACTTCAACATCTTACTTTTAAAAAACACTGAAAAAGGTAATTCGTGCAGTGTTTCCAGTTACATAAATTACTCCTTGGCATCTGAAAGGAACGTCAGAGTGGAAAGGAAGGAAAGCAGTGAGGGAAGGAGGGGAGAGGAGGAAGAGCAGCGGAGAGGGGAGTGAGAGAAGGAGGTGAGGCCGAGGGAGAGGAACATAGCTGAGCTTTTTTCAAAAGGTGGTGAATACTAGAAAAAGTTGCAACATGCTCTGATCATTAGAAAACGACTCTCGACCCCACCAGCTCTCTGCGCTGTCGCTCCCCTATCCCTTGACCGCCTGCTGCCAGTCCAAGTACCACCTGCCCACGGCAATCCTGCTTCTGCCCCACTGTGCCCCTGGAGCTGCGCCTCTGAAGGCACTGACCCCCTCACACGCAGGCGTCAGTGGACACTGCTTTTGATTTCATTTAACACTAATTTCTGTGGCATCTGTCACAGTGGATGACACCTCCCTGGCTAGCACAATGGCACTCTCTGTTCTTCCTGCTACTTTTCTTGTTTCCTCTCAAATTTCTTCATTCTTCAGGTTCCTTCTCCTGGCCTGCTCCTTTAAATGTTGATGTTATGGGGACTCCATCTTTTTTTTTTTTTTTTTAAAGATTTATTTATTTATGCATACAAGAGCTGGGGTACAGGCCAGAAATGCAAGGGGTGAGAGGATTCACCAGAGACAGAGCGGGGAACAGAACAGGCAGACTGACTGAAATACACTGCTGAGGGGAGCAGCGGACGAGTCAGGAGAGGTCTGCTGCACCATGTGGGTTGCTCCCTGGCTGGCCGGGAATTGAACTCATGCCTCAGAGGCTTTGGATTGCTTCATAGGCGGTGCTTAACCCCTTACTCCACCAGGGAGGCCCAGGGGCTCCATCTTTGACTGCTTGCTCTTCTTGCTCCATACATCATGCCTGAAGGGCCTTATCTGTTCATATGCTGTCAACGCTCTTTTATATACTTCCCAGATCTATGTCCTTAGCTCAAGCATCTCCATGGAGTTCCTGTGGACACCCCCATCAGGCTGCCTCCCTGGATCCCTACACTTAAGAGGTTTCAGATGGGATGCATGTTCTTCCCCCTAAGTTTCTCCCAATTCCCTCCTTAACATTCTAATAGCATCACCACCTTCATACTCACTTGAGCCAGATATTTGAGTATTAGTTTTCATATCCTTGTTTGAGTCCTGTTAATTTTACTCCCTGGGGTTTATGGACTCCCCTTGACTTTCACTGTCCTGGTGGAGGTGCTCATGCCTTCTTCACTAGATCACTAATCACTAGATCACTAGATCAATGCTACAGCCATCTAATTCATCTCCCAGACTCACTGCCACCCATCCATAGTCTCTTCATTCTTGCCCGAGGAAACTTCCTAGAATTTAAATATTTATTATTGAGTATAGTAAGCAACATCCTAAATATTTTTTGTATGGTATCTTATTCCATTCTCACACTATCCTTAGGAGGCAAACACAACTATTGGTCAGCCTTACAGAAGAACAGATGGATGTTTATACATAGTGTCTAAATCGTGGAACTGGGGGGCCAAACTCCAGAGGCCCTAATCCCAAACACCCCTCAGATTCAATGCATGCTCACATTCTCTCCTGGAGTCATACCTCTGAGAATAAAATTCAAACTTCTTAATTTGTTATATAAAGGTCATACAGGGCCTCCCCAGTGGCCCAGTGGTTGAGCGCTGGGCTGCGAAGCTGCCTGCAGCCTCTGCAGTGCCGGTTCAATCCCCGGCCGCGGGCAAGGGTCCCACATGGCATGGTGCACAGACCTCTCCTGCCATGCCTGCTGCTCCCCTTAGTAGTGTATTTCGTCAGCTGCCTGTTCTGTTCCCCGCTCTGGCTCTGGTGAGTCCTCTCACCCTCCTGCCAGTGCTTGTACAAATAAATAAATAAACCTTTAAAAAAAAAAATAAGGCTCATACAATGTAGCTTTGCTTTATGTTTCTATTTCCAGCTCCTTCACACACACTATTTGCTGGAATGATTCACAATGTCTGAATGCATGGTATTTGGCTTTGTTGTTTTTTAGCATTTAGTTAGACATACGACACTTTCCTGAACATTCATGGTGCATTTACCATGAGTTCAGTTTATTTTCACAAGTCAAGGAGCCTATGTGACCAGCGACTAAAGAAACAGCCAGCCAGGACTCTGGAGACACTCCCAGCCCCTGTCACTACCCCCTAAGGATCACGACTAGTGTGATCTGAACACTTGATATCATACTTTGCTTCTTTTCACTCAGCTGTATTTTCTGGAGATTTTTCCATATTGGTAAAAAAGACCCACTGCCCACAGGCATTGGTTGGGGCTGCCCCAGTGGGCTTTGGCCTCTGTGCCTATGGAATTCCGGTTATTAAACAGCTTGAGTATCACCCACATCATATTATTTATGTAGCATAGATGGTCTCCTCTATGTAAAGCACCCTCACCGCCCCTTCTTTACCTCCCTCTCACTCTCTTTAAAAATATTTCCTCTTCTAAAAGATTCTTTCTAACCATCTGTCAACTCTTGCCCCATGACTGGAATCTGATTGACACCCCAGCCTTGGCCTTATCAAACTCACTGTTCTGTTCATATACCTGCCTGTTTGCTCCTTGGAGTGGAAGCAACTGGAGGTTAGGGCCTGATCATATTTATCTTGGTATTTTCACCTCTGAGCATATGCCTAGCTCATGGTAAACTTCAACATAGTTGTATGAATAAAATGATTGCAAATGAGATCCCTGGTTCACTTGAGATACTCTTTCTTAGAGATTTTTTTAAGACACTCTTTGCTTTGTGTGCATTCCTTTTTGGCTCAGTACCCAGTCTGGGGTTCCTTTTAGTCCTATAAACAATTGTTTCTCACTTATTTCTGGGACAGAAATACAACTGGTTCCAGAACTCCAAGTGGTACAGTATGTTCCCAAGGACATATGCTTTCCATAAGGGAGTCTGGACTCTGAAATACATTGCAAGAATCTTGGAAGGATGTATTGAAAGTTGAAAAGAGGGGGAAAAAAAGAACAGCAAGAACAAAGAACAATACCCTGAGGCTAAGGAGTTGAGGGAATGTTGGTTTGGGTACAATAATTGGGTCCAATTAATGCATGTTGCTGTTTGCTATTTGGGTTTCTGTTTAGATTTATATTTTGATACCAGACTTTCCTTTTAGAACGTGTCAAGTTGGCAGGCTATTGGAAAGTGGAGTCTCTTCCATCAAAATAGCACGTGCCTTATAATCAGCCATACACAGCTGAGTCCTGTTTGTGTGAGAGTTCGTGGTCTAGGGCACTTTGAAGATGAAAGATTTAAGCACCATTACTGCCATTGTGAGTGCACAGTTTAGTAAAGCAAGTTAGACTCCCTGCTCTTTCTTTCATTTTCTAAACCTTCGCTGGCTGTGATTTGAAGATACACAGTTCTGGTCAGAGGAGGCAATTTCTCTCCACCATCCCTGCCAACCTTTGAAGCAGAGGCTGCTGAAAGCCTCACTGCAGCTGTGGGCCTGAGAGAACTCTTTGACGTTGTGGCTAGTTTCTTGAGAAGGTTCCATTGCTTCCACTCTCTCTGGGTCTCTGTAGGCCTTCTGGGAATCCTGCTGCTGATTCTCTTCACCTGTTTCTATTGGACATTCATTTGTCCCCAACACAGACAAGGGTCAGGTGCCCTCTTTTCCAACAATGGACAAAGCATTTTATTTTTTTTTATTTAAATTTTAT